TATCACTGGATGACGTTATCGGCCAAACTCTACAGAAACAGGGCTCAAATAGCCTTGGGCAAAGCTGTGTCTGGCTCATATAGCAAGGACCACATAAATAACACCAAGACAAAAGAAGGATGAAGACATGTGGCTTCACAGTCCCACCTCAGGTCTCTCCTCTTCCTAATCTCCTCAGGGGGGATGGTCCAGGGCAGGTTCTTGGGTAAGCAGTCTAAAACCTCATCCGAGAACTCAGAAAAATCGACATCGTACTCTGTCAGGATGCCCTCTGTCTCTGGTTCGATTTCTCCAGCTTGACCCAGTGTCTTAGCAAGTCGGCTGGGGGGCAAACATTTGGAGATAATCATGATAGTTGTCAAACTACTGTCAACTTTATGGTGTATCTATACACACCCTTCTGCAAAGTTGCTGTTGGCTGCCCAGTCGGTGATACGACAGATGAACAAGGTGTTGGTGTAGTTTCCCGGGACAGAGCTGAAGTCTTCGGGACAGTCAGCCAAGGGAACGTTAATTCGTGGCACCCGGTGGTCCATGGGAGAGAACATGGCAAAGGGCCTGTCTGGTAGGAATTTCAGGAAGCCTGTTGCAGCTCTTGAGTGTTTCTTCTCAACTATGTACACCACCTGGCCGGCACAAGGAGAGGACGGGGTGGGTTTGGTGAGGAATTCATTCGCAGTGGTGTCAAAACAGCTGCATTAGTTCAGTAATATTTTTGGCTTTCACAACAAAATCTCAAAATCTCCGTGTTATTTTATCCACTGGCAAAAATTAGTTGAAAAAAAAAAAATACTGGGGGCAAAGTGATGCTGAACAACAAGAGAAAGAACAAGCCTAATGTGGTATTAAAATTCAAACTGTAGTTTTGCATAGTAAAAACCTTCAAGTGAAAAGTATGGCTTTTATTATAAAGTAGCCAAATAAATGTTGCTATCATAAATGGAAGCTTAGCACAGTCTAAATCTACATGTGGACATTTATTCTTCATTTTTTTTATCAGTGGTTTGGTTTCACATTTGTTAGGTGATTGGTTCTACATTCAAACGACTTCAGATTGACGGCAAAATCAAAACATGCTGTATAATCAAGATAATGGAAACCTTTATGTCATTGTACTAATGTTGAGCAGGGAAAAGCAAGTGTGGTCATATCTATCTGTGATTATTTAAATAAAAAAAAGTCAATGAAACAGTACAAAGAGAAAAGCAATATGCAATATGCAGGATGCTCACTTTAGCAGTCTTTTGAAGTATTTCCTCAGTGGACCGTGGGGTTGAGGGGTCTTCCAGAAGATCTCCTGTTGCCAACAGATGAAAGGAAAAATTAAGATGTACAGTACTAGCTATTGTTTCTGAAGTTATTCTGTGTACCAGTACTCTGTACAGTAAACACCCAAACAACCTGGCCATTACCAAACACCAGCTGAATTATTGCTCGATTCCATGATTTCTATATTAATCATGATTAGCAATGGCTGCTACATTCACTACTTCTTCACAGTACCTGTGTCAGTGAGAGTGGTATTCAGATGTTCAGGTCTAGAAGTGCGCTCTGCCTTCTTCTGTGCTTTTTGTACCAAGTGTTCTCGCCGGGTCTCCGACTCACTCGTGCCCTCACTCGCACCCTCACTCGTGTCAGTATCTGACCTCACAACCTAGACAAAAACATTCATCTCCTGTAGCTTAGGTCACTACTGACATGGTTTTCTGTCATAAAAATAGATTATAACCACAACACTCTGAAAAGCAACATTTACAACATGGAACTTACAAACTGGATGTATACTGTATATAGCTAAGCAAGTCCAGTTTACCTTCCATTGCTCCCGAGGTAAGACTTGCACTACCACAATATCTCCATTCAGTGCTCTGTTGCGCGCTACAGTCCCATCCAAAAATATATCCCACGTGTCATCCTGCAAATGCACATGAGATGTTCATCTGCTGCCTGTCTAACTTTGGATGTAAGCCTAAACTTCTCAAAATGAATGTTACTATGGCACTAGCAAACATGATCAAATCACATGCCAAGATACAGTCATTACATAGACATGCTACAGGATAGTTATGCTGTATTATAGAGAACTTAACAAACAGGTTATTAAGGCAGGAAAAGATGAACAGTCCAAATTATTCTGGTAAGTAGCACAAACGTCTTGACAACATATGTCAACTTACAGGAGATGGGATAAAAGCTTCATGGTACTTCTTTGGGTTGATTCTTATTTGTCCCTGCAGAGAGAACAGGGAGAATTCGACAAATTTGACCATGAACAAAGGGACCCCAAAGCTAAATTAGCTAAAATGGCAAAGTATTTAACTGTCCAGGCCCTGCAGGCAGGCTGTCCTTTCTAGAAGACGGACCCTTTTCAAATTCCAATTCAATAATTTTGTTATTTAGTGCTTATCTGTTACATATGTCTGGATTAATTTGTGTTTAATAATACAACAGAAAACTACAGAGATTAGGATGAACAAGCGTTAAAATACAGATCATCATAACATAATTAAAGCAAATAAAATAAGTCCACAACATTTCAAATCCGTATGTTAATTACTCTGTACCTGAATGAGTTCTCCTCTTTTAAGGCCATGGGAAACCTCCTCACGTGTCATGTAGGATTCAAACACTTGTTTCTTTGATCCGCCTCCTTTGTTCTTACTTTTGACAGCAGAAGAAGTGGCACTGGAAGCTGAAAATGATTTGACATGGTGATTTATTCCATCACAAATCATCAAACGTATAAAGCCACACTATCATAGCAAACAATCTGCTGAGTCCACCTGCTGAGAATTAACATCTCAAAACCTAACCCACAGTTTAACTCATAGATGCTGCAATTTTTCATCTTTACCATCAGGGGACTTGGGCCTTGACATGTCAACCCAAGATCTTAATGGCCCCTTTTTGCTTTCCTCCTCTTCTGGGTGCTTTGGCAGGTTCTTTTTCTTTGACTTCTTCACCTTCTCTTGTTCCTGTCCACCTGTACTGGCCTTCTTTGGGGACTGGGGAAGTCCAGTGAATGAGCTGGTCTCTTTTGAGGTAACATCTCTGTTAGAATCCTTGTTTTTCTTCTGCTGCTTCTGGTGTTTCTTTGTCTCGGGTTTGGAAGAGCTGACCTCCTCGCCAGACTCTATGTCTCCATCATGGCTGGTGGTAGTGTCCCTTCTCTGCCCCCATCGCTGCCTCTCAGACACACCTTCTTTCCTTTCACAGTCCTGCTGAGGGTTGCGAATGCTTAGTTTCTCCATGTATAAAGACAGTGAACTGTTATCTCCTCTACTTGTCATGGAAGAGGGAGTGAAATCACTTGAATCAGAGAAATCATTAGCTGTTTGATCCCTCTTTCGCTGTGGCATGTCCAGCCAGTCACCCTGGGCTCTGAACTCCTTTGCATATTGTTCTAGATACAAATTGAACTTGCTGCTGCGATGCTGGCTGAGAAGCCTGGCGTAGGCATCTTTCTGAGGAGGAACGCTGGACCGATTCTGGCTGCGCTTCGGCTCTCGATTCAGGTTAGCCTTCTTAGACTGCCGAGGAGAATCCATCTGGCAATCCTTAAAGATGTTGTCTCTAAAAAGGAAAAGCCTATTTGTGAGTGCTGCCATTCAAGTACTATGAGTCAACGAACGTGACTTTCAGACACTTTATCTTTAATTAAACAAGATTATTTACAATTCAGTGCGCTCAAAATATACAAAAGGAGAGGCTCGTTATCTAAAGTTAAATTTTGCACAACAAAAGGAAAAAAATGAAAGCAGCTCTTAAACAGCTGTCGAGTAACGTGAGTTCACTACAGCACATAGTTCAGTAAGAACCAACATGACTGGCAGTTAACTTAGCAACGTTAATGTTAGCTATGTTAAACTGTATTCATTAATAATTATGATAAAACAAAAGCTTTATTATGTGATCTTCGGTTTTGACGTACAACAAGCTAACAATGCCTTTAAAAACACATTCTAGCTAGGAGTTAACGTTCACTAATGGATATTAGCAGTGACTACCTAGCATCAGCAGCTAGGTGATTTCAAACAGCAGATACTGATTTAACGCTAACAAACCACTTTTATGTCAGAGACAGCAGCGCTGACCACGACTCGGAAAATAGACAGATAGGTTATCACACTTAAAAATGCCAACTTTACCTTACTAACTACGGTATAAGTTGTATCGTTCAATGTACAATGACACCTCCTGATGCTTCTTATTCTTCTTCTATGGTGTTTACTGGCGGGTTTCAAACCTACCTAAGGTGCATTACCGCCACCTGCTGGGCTGGGGCGTGGAACGCTAATAGAGCCGTTGGAATACATATTTATAAAAAATCATTTTAAATACCCCATCTTTCAAGATCACTCTTTCTAAACGTCCTACAATGCTCACATTCATCTGATTCCATCTTGACTATAATATATTATTCGGTCTTGTGTGACCCAGTCTAAGTCCTCTAACTTCCTCCATACTTTATAATTTTAACTGATTTTTGAACATTATAATAATGCCTTCCTTTAATATTTTTATCTTATATTCCTTGTCATGATTTTATTATTCTGCTATAAATCACTGACTGTGCTTTTGTTCTTTTCATAGTGATTCCCACATACCATCATCACTTTTGTTAAGTCATCTCTTAACTGATGTGTCAGCCACCTCATTCCCTTCAACTCCTACATATACTGATATCCAACAGAAATGCACATCTAGATAAGATAAGATAAGGATTATAGCTGTTATTACTGCCGTTATTTCTGGCTGTTATTTAAATACTCTTTAGTTGCATGAGCAATATTAATATCATTCTCTGCCCAATATTTACTCTTCTCTATAAAATGTAAATGAACTTTAGGATCTGGGAATATCCTTGGAAGAACATTAGTCTTAATACCAGTTTGACTAGTTTTCAATGTGTCTAATTTTTACTTTTGGGTGATCAGAGGCTCACCTATAGAGGGCAGCAACTACTAGACATTTCTTTTATTCGACTAAACAGTGACATTACTGTATGTGACAGTTGTGCAAACGTGCTGATGAAAGAAATAAGAATATCAAACATCCAATCAGACAGAGATGGGTGTGTGTGTGTATGTGTATGTGTGTGAGATGTCTGGCGGTGAGTGTGTGTAAGCATATGCAATTTATTAGGAATACAGTTAGTAGGTATAACCTACATCTGCTGAAGATTCTCATCTGTCTCATGACAAGACAAGCATGTTTCACCTGTCTGTTCACACCTGCATCGCTCACATAGTACACGACGACCTACCAAAGCTCTTCCAAGTGCTCACATATACTGTACACACGTTCCTCAGCCCATTTGCTCTGCAACAGTATGGGAGTGCTGTTTGAAACCACACACAGGTGTACTGTATGTGTGTTTTCAGAAAGTGTATAATTGTAATAATGTTTTGTCTTACATGCCAGCTGTCATTTGTCACTGATGTTCACACCAGCGTGAGTTTATAAAAACTGAATAAAAAAAAAAAGTTTCTGTTATGGTTTAGTCCCCCTCACCAGGGGGGTGAGGGAGAACTGAGGTAGGACTCAAGTGTGCTGACCCAAGTGCTAGTTAAAAAGGTGGTTTAATGGAACAGAAACACAAAGTAACAACATAACAGGGGCCATGTACATATATAAGCAAAGTAGGGCTGAGACGGAGGAGGAGACCTGGACAAACAGGTACAAAGGCAAACTAACGGCAGGACTCAGGAGAGCAGGAGGATGAGGACGGACAGGTGAATAGACAGGCTAACCAAGGGGACAGGCGAACAAAAAGGATATCCACAGCACAGGAACTGTCAGCCAGGAAATCAGAATGACGTATGAACATAATACTGTGCAACCAACTTACAAAATGCGATCCACTGCACAGGAACTGTCAGCGTGGAAAACACCATACGACTGATACATACCACGAATAAACGGCTGTTACGGGGTATGCAAGTTAAGTTAAGTTAAGTTAAGTTAAGTTAAATACTTTCATAAGGTAGAGAAGTCATTACACTAACGCGCCCCATCTGTGCGCGACAACCCATGAGTTGCTAATTGCAAAAAGCAACATAGCTGAGGCGCAGAGCCCACAAAAAAGAGAGCCGGAGACAAAAAAGAAAAAGAGAGGCATGTCGCGCCGTGCGGACCTGACAGTTTCTCTTCTACTACATAAAGGGTTCTGTAACCCAAGGCCTCACTGACAACATCGCTATGCACAAAACGTCAACAAAATTCATCAGACTGTCAGTTAAATATCTGGTATCTAATTATAACCCACCTGTGTTGTACTGTTTGTAAAACAGAGATGATGAGAATTTGATTAATTATGTGTTTTAATTAAGTCTCACCTGCTGTTTAACAAGACATAGGCTGTGTTTATGCCAGTATGTTTAAACAGCATTTACAACTGGGTGTTATCAGCATAACAGTCGTAGAAACTAAGGCTGAACAGAACTGAGATGACTAAGGGAGATCATATGCACACATCCAGAGGCCGGGACCTATCATCACATTGAAGTGTCACATTTTTTAGGATTCTGTAACACTACACACTCAGAACATAAATTATGGTGCTGATATTTGTAGATAAAATAGATTTTTTTCACCAGCACAAAAATGGAACTTCAAAAGATCACGACCTTCTTATTCTCACCATCTCCTCCATCATTCTTCTTCACCTTCATTTCTATCATTTTGTGTTACCTTGCTGATACCTTGCTGGCTCATCGAAGGTGAGCTGTGAAAGGGAGTGATGTAAGCAGCTATTTCCATCTTCACATCACACCCGTCATTAACCAAGGTGGTAACCACAGGTTCCAGCGTGCTCACTGCACATCTAGCATCTATACAGCAACAAAAGTGGAAAACTATTTCCCAGTTACAAAGCTTCTATAAAATAGCACATTAAATGCAGAAATATTGTTGCATATGGCTGACACGCCTCTGCAACATCGTGTGGCAGTTGGGGACAGTGACAGCTGGCCTAGGAACGCCTCGGTATCCCCCCGGAGGAGCTGGAGGAAGTGTCAGGAGAGAGGGAAGTCTGGGCATGTTTGCTTAGACTACTGCCCCCGCTACCAGGTTCTGGATAAGCGGAGGAAAATGAATAGATTGTTGCAACTGAACATTTTAATATAGAAAATGCTGCATTTGTGACATAAATACCATAATTCAGACCTACAGTTATTCTCATTGAAGAGTAAAATGGATTGAAGCAGATGGCTCGATATAATTTGTAGACAATTTTAAGCCTCTGAAAATTTGTTTCCTGTCAATAAACAGTTTCCCTTAAAATTTGGGCTAAAACATATTAAAAGAGGGCTGTCATTGCTTTTCCAGTGCCTCTCACATTGGTGTTTTATTGTAGGCTGTCATTGAAAATACTCCATTAATAGCATGACACTGTAAGCTTTTCTTGGGAAGAAGCTCTCTTGAGCTACGGTCACCTTTCTCCTGACAGCACTTGTCAGCTTTACTTTTTTTTACTCAAACGGAGCTGACTGAATGGATATGAATTTCTGCGTTAAAAAAAAACATAAAAGGATCCATGGAACTTTTTCTCACAAGCCCCTTTTCTCCTCTGAGCCTATGGAGAACAGAGAGCATGGGTGAAAGAGTGCCGGGTACAGCAGCCTGTCTGCTACTATTTCAATTCTATGGACCCAAATTGTAAAACATGCAGATGAAGCAGCAAATGCCTATCAAATATTCATCAGGCCAAGGGAGGCAGGGCAGCTTGTAAAGAAGAGCAAATAAAGAGGGCAGGAGCAGTCGCTAAGGTCTCTCGTCACCTCATGTACACTTACAGTCATTTACATCAGTGTACAAAATAAATAAAAGCATCTTTTTTCAGTATTATTTGTTGTATTACCCATTATCCATCTGCCTGTGTCTGTCTTTCACATCACCACATGTCCTGGTGTGAGGCTGAATGGCGAGTGTGTGGATAAATGTGTGTGAGAGGTGCATACTATAGGCCTAGTTGTAGCTGCTGCAGGGCTAGGCAGCCTGCCTTCCTCATCACTGGCTGCAAGCAGTATGGGGAGATCTCTGCGGTCATCACCTTCCACTGCCATGGCAACGGCCTACAAGTCACCCTGGGTGAGCTGCACACCACAACCTCCATTTACAGTCCAGGGCTGACTCTTGATGAGCAGGGAGAGAATGTCAGAGCTGACCAAGATAGACACACACACTCACATGTTCTGTTTCCATAACTTCAGGGGACATTACAGTGACTTATACTCATTTTATGGAGACCTACCCTAGCCTTACCCTTAACCTAACACCTAACTTCACGCTCACCTTAAACCAAATCATCGCTCTAAAACGTAATGATTTACATTTTGGGGACTTATTTTTTGTCCCCATAAGGATGTTGCTTCCCCACAATGTGACTGTGCAAAAAGATTTACTGTACATAATACCAGGCCACACACACATGATTTATTTTCATTGCTTGTGGGGACTTACATTCATTTCCCCAAGACTTACTATAACTTTAATTGCAACTTTAATTATAATGACTACTTGTCTATCCCTAACCTTAACTCAAAGTTATCACCCTAATATCCTCTGATTTACATCAAAAGGCTCCGCAGTATGAGTGGGCACCTGGCCATGGGTTCCCACAGTATTAAAACAAGGCCACACACACACAGAGATACACACATGCTGTGCTTTCATTCTTTGTGGGGACTTTACATTGACTTACATTAATTTCCTATAGACTTATCCTGACCTTAACCATAACCACTAGCCTAACACCTAACCTTAAACCATGTTGCCATATAACATTCAGTGATTAATTGACGGTCGAGTCCCCACAATGTGAGTGTGTTAACAGGTTTCAGTCCCCATAATGTAAGAAATACAAAGGCACGACACACACAACACCAACTACTGTTTGATATCTTTTTGTGATCAACAGCAGATGGACTCATAACAAATGAGAAAGAATGGCTCGTTACATAACTGTCATGCATATCTCATACATTAGTTAACTTTTGGTCTGAGGAGAAAGTCTGTTCCCCAAATTGTGGGTGTGGAGTTTGGAAGATGTTGGACATCTACCAGGCAGGGAGTTTCTAACAAAAGACACTATGAGTCCCACGAAAATGTGGGATTCAGTGACACATACTTGAGACTAAATGTTTGGATGTCTCAGCGTCTGCCACTTTCACAGTTCTTTTTAAAATTGGTCTTCTAAGTCCATCTGCTATGGAAACGCAATACACATTCGCCCGTGTTTTTGGTGTGATATTTTCACCAATCACGTGTAGCTACGTGTAATTTTGCTGTAAACACACACTTTCTGCCATAAATAGGGAACGTATGCACGCAGTGTACATACTGTTTGTCTCATTTTTCTCTCTCCATCATTCACACATTTCTCTTCTATCCTATATCCACTCTACTTGTCAGGCTGCTCCTCCGTCTTCGTCACTAAAAGTTCTTCATCATCATCACCACCACCACCACTTTCGCTTTTCTTCCTACGGGTGCTACTTTCAGCACCGGACAGCTCCCGTCGTTCCCACGCTCCGCCCACCTCCGGCGGACCGGCGGTGAGAAACAACCACACTCTTCTGGTTGTGGCGACACTTTAGGTGGCCTGTTAGGGTTGTGTTGGGAGGGACGGAACTTCGGGAGCAATTGACTCGTTTACTCCTCTCACATGGGCTTCTTCGAGGGGGAGTAGGAGATCTGGAGCAGTCGCTTATAACGTCTCTACATATGGATGGATTTCGGTCTGATGAGGATTCAGTGATGATTTTTTATGATTTAGGAGCCTGGAGGCTGTCTGGTCAGCTGTTTGGATCATATTATGGTTCTGCAACAACGGAGAGGAAGACAGGGACAATGTGTTTTCTCTGGGGCGGACAAAACATGCTCGAAAAGAGAAGTGGACATCATTTTTAGCGTGATAATGTGTAAGCTAGGCTAGGAAATTTAGTCTCTGTTGTGCGCTTCATAAACTGCCTCTAATTCCGTGAAGAAGCTGCGTGCCTTTGGTTATGCTTGCCACACTGTGCCAAGTGGCCACGGTGTCTCCTCTTTACTTGTGAAACGGAACCATGGCCCTCCTGGTCGTCCCGCTGCTTCTGCAAACAGGACTTGTTTTAGGGTCAAACTACGGTTATGTGGAGTGGTCGGATGATGACAGAGACGAGAAAAACCCACCAGTGTTCAGCACCCAAAACATAAACAGGGAGCCGCCCCACCACCCGACCTATTACTCGCTTCCATCCACCGAGCGCACGGTGGTAGCGCACAAAATCGAGGAAGACCTGCCGAGGGTGGTGACCGCCTTTCTGCACACCGGGGACTCCTCGGCGCTGAGGCAGGTCAACTGTTCGCGGAGGTACGAGCTGAGCAGTCTACGAGGCGGCCTACACGTCGCCTCCCACTATTCCCTGCACAGCATCCTGGACACTGTAGCGCACGCCACAAACGTCCTGAATGTGATCCTGCAGACCAACAGGTCCCGGGAGGAAAGCCTCCGCAGGGACATCCACTGGTACCACGCGCTGGTTCAGAGCATCCTCGAGGGGGACCCCAAAATCCACAGGGTGGTAGTGACCTTCCACACTAAGGCGCCCACTTCGGAGCCCCATGTTTTCCTCCAGGCGACCAGAACCGAGAAAGCCGTGGTGTTGCAGGACCTGTCCAGCTCAGCGCACCGTCACCTGAAGAGCAGGAGTCTGGAGTCAGACTGGTTTAATGAGTTTAGGGACGGGAGAAGACCACACATGCACAGAAGGGTCCCGGAGGCATCGGGCGCCAAGACTGGAAGCTACCTTCTGGAGAAAAATCAGATCAAGTGGTCTGCACCATACCTGGAGTGTGAAGACGGGGCATTTGTGCCCTATTGGCTGCTTACCTTGTCTGCTGGCTTCTATGGACTCAAGAATAACTCTGCACCAGAGTTCAGGTGAGAGGAAGTAGGTGTGAAAGAGAGAGATGTTGTAAGATAAGGAGGAAAACGATGCAGTTTGTTATTGTGTTTGATGTTGTACGCTGACAATACTTTTTTTTGTTCCCGAGGTACAGAAAAATGTATTTATTTCATGTTACATTTATCAAGCGTTCCTTTTTAGGCAAAAATATACAGCATGTTTAAAAATTCTCTATATCATTCAACCAATTTCATTCTCAGTCATTAACAGTCAGCCATCACAATTAACTGACAGCAATGCACTAATAATTCTTATGTACTGGAGTTTTTATGCAAGAAACAGATGGTGTAAAAGCAGCTTCAGGCACATAGGTAGACCTTTCATATTTAATATGCTCACATGTCAACGCACATCTGTGCAGCTCTACTGTTGCAGCCTACACTCTAATAAACACTGCAGGCTTTACACAGTGTGCTTGTTGGTGATGTGAGCCACACAAGCTGTGTTTGTGTCTTTGTGTGAGCATGGGCAGCAGTTAGGTGCATAAAAAAACCTCAAGGATCTCATATTTCAAAACTCCAGTCCAAGAATGCCTTGATAAAAATCAATGAAATCATGAATAAACAATGACAGGTTAACAGCTGCAATATGAAGCCAATCTGCACCTAACCCTTCCATCAGTCTGTGAAGAGATGTATCAAGATATGCTGTTCAATCGTATCAGATCATTTCCTCAGTAAATGTTAAGGAAAACCTTAGAAAAGAGAGGAGTCAGTCTTGACAACAAACACATTCTCGGTTTGAATTAACTTACACCTTACTTACACCTCCAGCAACTGACAAACTGAATTTGGGTAGCACTTTATTTGGAAGACCTGACACAAACCTTGCTCAGTGGTTTATAGACAATAGTGTGTCCTGCAGTGGATTTGAGCCTCATATTGGCAAGCAGCCACATGGCCTCGACACGGCCGTGAGCAGCATGCTGCATCGCTGCCTGCTCCAGGCACTGTCGTTCTTGGGTTATGGGGCCCACGACATGGCCCAGAGCTGTCCTGAACTCTTCTGAGAATTGTGCCGTGGTTACTGTCATCATGCACCAGGTATGATGAAGATGAGTGTGTCGCTACCACAGAGTTATTTTGATCAGAATTATCACAGCCTTCAAGACCAAAGATAAGTGCTAACTACCACTAGACAATTTGTGACGTCTTTACTTTACTGCTGGTCTGAGATGTTCCCTGTCTAAAACCAACAAATGTTTAAGACGTTGAGAGAGATGGAAGCCTGTTTGTGCCAGTTGCCTAAAGCATCTGCTAATGTTCAGTGTCATTAAATGAATTCAGCAAAGGAATTAATAATTAATCAATTGACTATTGAAGCACAGCCAAGAGGGCTTTGAGTGAGTGTTAAAAGGAAAGCGATATTTCACAAGTGACTGATTTATGAATGTTAGAAGAATATTTGCACATGCATCAAATCCCATTTGTGAAGTTGTATAAGAAAGCAGAGCGCAGAGAAACAAAGAGATACTCAGATAAAAACCCATTTCTACTGACTGAGTCGTTATTCTAAAACCAAAAGGCTGAGAGAACAGAGATGAACAGTTTTCACACAGACAATAGTTCGACACTCTGTCCTTGGAGTTTTTAGTCATATCACATGCTCTTCATCAGCAGTTGTACACATGTCTTTAATAACTGTTATGATTTCATTCCTAGCACTTCTAGGAGTTGAAGTCTTGCCTTAAAGTTAATTACATAATACAGTTTGACCTAACTCAAACTCAAGGTCTATTTACTAGTAGTTTTCTGAAGCTTTCACACTACAGAAAAGTCAAAGGATAAGGCTGGTAATTTTTTTTATATTAACAGTATTTTCAACATTCCTCACACAGAGACTAAAATCAACAATGACCTGCCTCTACTTACGGTTCATGTCTGTCAGTCTCCAACCTGGATTAGCTTATTTGTCTGTGCCATAGACGATGACTGCGGCTAAAAAATCATTCAAATCACATCAGTGAAACACACCGCTGCACTGGGTAACTCATTTCTTCATTATAAAACACCACACCTGCATATCTGTTAAAAATGTTGCCCCAAAAACTTCAAACGGCCATAAGTACATCGTCTGAAGCAACAAGAGTCAACTGCACATGCATGAGATCTTTGAGAAGCACGATGAGTTAGCAGACTGTAAACAAAGCAGAGAGCTGTGTATTGGGTGAAATCATAACAGCTACTTTGCCTTGTTGTCAACAGTTCAGTCTTAGACGGCTGAACAAACAGCCTCTCCTGATGAAGACCATGTGATGCAGTTGAAAGGCCTGGAAACCTTGATTTGGGGTTGTCTTGACAAAATACCTTTTCCAAATGTAACAATCAACATTTATGATTAAAATACTGTTTGGCATTTGGCAGCATTGGCTGCCAAGTCAGCAGAGGGCGCAAAGGCAGAAGTAAAGTTAGGAAACAATAAAGGCTTGAAGAACAGTGCATTCTCTAATTGAATGTAAACACTGGCAACCAGACACATACTGTTTTTTCCTCACCCTAGTTTATGGGATGTTTTTTCTGTAGCTGGTTTTGCAACCTTTTTATAGGTTCCCTCACCTCAGTTCTGTAATGGCGGTTATAAAAATAGACCTTTGGTTGGCTCTGGATAGGGAAGTGTAAGCTGGTATAGATGATGCCTTCATTTCCACTGTGTTGTCCTTTTTCTACCTCAAATCAACCTCTTTCTCATCTTTGTTCAGTTCTGTCACTGTCCTTCCAGGCTAAATGTAGAGAAGCCATTAGTTTTTGTAAACCTAATCAAAATGTAAATGATAGGTGCAGATTTGAAGCCGTATCATAAGGTAGGCAGGAGAGGGAGACCATACGATTACACCAAGCATCCCTAGAAATAAAGACCGCAGTAGAAGGAACCATTAATTTTTGTTATTTTTGTCAATTTATGATCAATACCAGTTGATTTTAACATGATCATAAAGATTTTGAACAGCGTCAGACTAACAATATCAGTGTCTCTCCTGGTTGTACATTTTAGTTTGTGACACTTGCATGGCTCCACAGATGGCTCTTTGTCACATCTCTATTTCTGCTTCTTTCAGTCTTTATCAAACCCTGTACACATGAAATAAAAAACTCACACACACGCACGCTCACACTCACGCTCTGTCACTCGGAGATATCAACATGTTTTCCTCCTTCTTTTTCTGTCTGCTGCTGAGGAGAGCTGGTGGCCAAAGCCTCACTCCAGGTTGTTTGATGCACTTCCCAATGAGCAGATGGAGGTAACGGGTGTCAGAATCATCCACGAAACCACAAAGGGAGACAGGCAGAGAGGATGCATGTGTGGAGAAAATGGATAGGAGTGGTGAATCCATGAAGACCAAGTATCTTTAGTGTGTTTGAGTGATTAACTTCCCACTGTGGATCTTTGGTGGCTCTCTTCTGCAGAGATGTTTGGGTCTACAAGAGAATAGAAAACATAAGAATTTTTTGTTTTACCCTTGGGGGAAAAAAAAACGCCATAGCCATTTCCTCATATGAATTGCAGACAATGTCTGGACTTGATTCTCTGGAAATTCACTGCTGCCCTTTCACACATGTACCAGCACGCAACTGGAACACAGGTTGTGTATGTGGTCATGTAACCAGTTGGTAATTTGGTCCTAAACAAACGAGTCTCTCATCGTTCTGTGAATTTAGTCTGACGATTTCAGCATTGGCCTGTATTGACTAGAGTTCCCAAATCTTGTTGTCTCTCCACTTAGACATTTTCATTGGCATCTTTGTTTAAATTAGCCATCTTCCTCATCCCAAGAGCCCAGAAACAGCACTGGGCTGTGAAGCGTTCATCACATGACAGATACTGGCCTAGCAGTATTTAATTCTCCTTGCTTCACCCTCTGATGTTGTGCATTCTTCTAGTTTCCCCTCCATAAAGAAACATCATCAATACACCCACTAGCTCGGTGTGAATTCTCCAGACAACAACCTGTTCTATTCACTTATGGGCTCAGGTGGACATTGTACAGACTCTGGACAAAGGAGCTGACAGCAGAGTGTTTGTCTGGAGGGGATCTTTAAGGGAATAAACTGACTAAATAAGTACCTTTAAGGGTATGCAAGGTGATATGCAGTATTATTTCTCTGTTCATCAACACATAACATGACAGCAGACAAATCAACAAGAAGTCGATCCTACTAACAAGCACAAATAGTCCCCAATAAATGGATCATAGTTATAGCAGGTTTTCTGTTTGATGAAACAAACCATGCAGAAGATATATACGATAGCTGTTTTTGTATAACGATAGTGTATACAGTATTTATGATTCAATTCAAAGTATGTAGAACTTAGTGGTGCTCGGTTGCATCAGTAGGCTTGGCACAAAAAAGCTGTGAAAGTCCGAAAGAACAGAGAGAGTGAATAACAAATTACGAAGAACTTGACAAATGATCTTTTGTTAAATTACTGTAGTTTTGTGTAAAACATGGGTGAAAGAATGACAAGAATAAGGACAAAATGTAAAAACAAACTATTTATTTTTTATGACTAAACGTTTTTTGTTAAAAACTAAAGACAAGGCTTGAGGCAACTTGATTTTGCAGTGTGTCCTTTCTGACCAACACAATCTTTATGCTGACTGCATATTTCTGTGCATCTCCAGTGTCTGGAAAGTAGCTTACATTTCTTTTGCAACTGTTTAATAAAATGTCTACTTTGCTTGTGTTTCTCTTCCAGTATATTTACCTTTATATGCCCGTCTCCCTCCCTCTCCTTGTTACTCACCTCCATCACTCTTCATTTCTTTTCCATTTCTGGTCTGTTTCACTCCTGTCACACTATTGCCGCTCTCCTCTTCCCTTCTACTTTCACCTTTGACCTTACGTCCCCTGAGCATTGCTCTTCCTGTTCTTTTTAATTTTCTTCTCTTTCATTCTGGCCTTCTCTTCCTCCCCCTCCTCGTCTCTCTTACACCCTTTTGTATTTTATCACCTTCTACCCTTTCTAAACTCTCTCTCTTTCACTTTTATGTTACTCCCTCATTTGTTTGTCTTGTCTCACACCATGCTTCCTTTTTGTATTTTACTTGTCTTCCCATGTAATGCATTTCTTTTTCTTCCCCACTGATATCATTTATCACAACCTACTGGCTCTACTGCACCCCCACCCATTTCATTTAATTTGCTTATCTTTTCCATTATCTCTTACTATTTCCTGTCCCTCTGCTTATTTTATAAATTTCTCCTCTCCCTCCTTTCTTTGCTTATGCTTTCTCCACCTTTCTTCCCTCCTTTCCTCCTGGCAGGGGTGTTGTACGTGTGGATGTGAACCTGCAGGATGTGGACATTGACCAGTGTTCCAACAGTGGCTGGTTCGCTGGGACTCATCGCTGTAATCTCACCAGCATGGAAGTGAGTCTGCTGTACAGTATGGTCATCATAACCACAGTCACAGTCATTTAGTAATAACTTGAAATCACTCTCATTCTGTTTTACTACTCTGTTTTGTCATTCTGGTGTGATGGAAATGTGGTCAATGTTCCATTCGAGTATTTCTTCATTCATACTTCTGTCTTTTCACAGCCTCCTTAAACCACTTAAATGTATGATCAAGGCAAAGAGGTGCCTTGAAACAAAGACAATAACATGTAACTGTAAACAGTGTCACATTACCATGAAGAACAGCTCATGGCTATTCATTATTGTGTATGTAGTGCACTGCAACAGCTCTGCACGCATGGCGGCGCTGCACCGAGCTTAGAGCCCCATCATCATTGCTTGGTTAAATGCTTGGGAAGACAAAGACAAAAACAGCAGTTTGATGTCTGTAGACTTCAGTGAGTGTGCAATGGTGGTGGTTTGTGTGTGTGTGTGTGCATGCACGTGCATGGAAGTGGCAGCATCTATATATCATGTTTTGTCACCTTCCAAGGTGATGGAGAGACAGCGATCAAGGAAAATGTTCTGAATTTGTGTTTGTTAAACCTTCTGTGTAGTGTGTGTGTTTTCTTGTACTTGCTATATAGTGAGGACCAAAAAGTATTTTTGTATTTTTGCTACAGAGTGAGGACATTCTGGCCGGTGCGCACTTTGTGAAACACCTTTTTGAGGATTAAGGCTTAGGGTTCAGGTTAAAATTAAATTTAGGTTAGTGTTAGGGTAAGGATTGTGGTTAGGCATTTAGTTCTAATGGTCAAGGTTAGGGTAAGGGGCCAGGCAATTCATTATGTCAGTGAGTGTTCTCACTGAGATAGAAGTACAATTGTGTGTGTGTGACTGTGTGTGGGCTCGCCTGCGTGTTCACTACCTCACTTATGCCAGTGCCAGTGTGTTAGTTTTATTTGATGTATTGCAGAAAGCCTCCCTGACTGCAGCAGGAAAGAGTAACTGCTCAGGCGTGCATTGCATGTTGCTGCCCATATGATGTATAATAAATGTAGTGTAATGGATTGCAGCAAGATCTAGTGAATAATTGACCATGCTCTTTGTCTGTGTATCCCTCACCATTGCTTTTAGTCTGTCACTGGGTCGGGGGTGGTGACGCAGGAGCTTTCCATGTTCATCTTGATCTGCTGTGTTACTTCCTCTGCATTGTTATTATTATAAGCAACTGTCTCCTCACTGCTGTCTGGTAAATTCTGAGTGGTGCTGCTGATAATGGTGGAATAGTTCTGTTCAGATCTGTATTGGCTGTGCGCGGATGGTGTGTGTGTGTTGTGTTTTTCTTATGACTATGGTGGGCAGAGAAAGCCTTTTAGTTACCATGGTCATTCCAGTCTGTCTATCTCTGACTACTTTGATGGAAATACTCTAAATTATCCCAGGCATGTGTCCTGTACGTATATGCAAATGTATGTATTTGTGTTTTGTTTTTTTTACAGTACTTTCCATTAGTAATAAGAGCAGTGAATGTTTTGTGAGTTTTTCCCCTTTTCTTTCTCTTTGCAAACATTTGGTCTTAACTGGCTTAAACCCTAAACTTGCAGCAATATGAAAGGACATTTTCACTGAGAAGATCATTGCCACTTATTACTATCGTCCTCTGATAATTTTCCTTCACACACTATATTTGGCGAGGTGCTAGTCAATAATTCAGTGCCATCTTGAATCAACAGTGTTATTTGTCTTTTGCTGTTTTAAAGCTGAGATTATGCTGTTGAAAACTTTATATAAATTCAGTGCAAATGTTTTGTTAGAAGGGACATGTATTGATCATGGATTTGTGCCAGTGTCATCAGTCTTTTATGGATTATGTCATTTTAGACATAGGGCTCTACTTCCTGCCAGCACAAAGCTGACCGTAGCTCCAAATGCATTCTTTATGCAGGTTTCCTCAGGCGCAGGTCTGTTATTTTTGCACAGTGGTGTGTTTTCCAGAGGTGCAAATCTCAAGTATTAACCTTGAAGTCTCAAGCAAGTCCCAAGTTTTTCCCAGGAAAAACTCCCTTTAATGGAAGAAACCTCCAGCAGACCCTGGCCACAACTTAAAATAAACTCTTCAATGCACAACTGATCTACCAGAATTCATTATGAATAATTTATTGTAAAATATTTGTGAAATATGTGCGATGATTTAGAAAGATTATGTGGGTGGGGTGCTGCTGCACTCAGGAGGTGCACTCCAGATCTCCAGATAAGTGCAGGTCTCACACCAACAGTGAAACCTTTATAAAGTTACTTGCGACACCCCTGTGGTTTTTGCAGACTGGATGCAGCTGTGAGTAAATTACACCATATAATTGCTGCTGGTTACAGGATCAGAGTCTTTCTTTCTTCCATGCATGAAATATGGTTGCAGACTGCTGAGTGAATATTTATGGGCAATACTTTTACAAAAAGCAGGTTTGTCATGAAGATATCAGAATGAGATACATAAATGGTAGGAGAAGACACAAGGAAATAATCTTCCCTCGTATATTTCAGTGTCAGGACTTCAGTGGCATCAGTCAGACTCAGGTTTCCATGGTGCTCTTTAAGAAATTGACAGGAACTGATTTGAGTCCAAGTGGACACTTTGCCAAATTTGAAGAACTTCCCTCGAGGCGTTCCTGAGATATCATGGGCCCTACAGACAGATGGACAGACAAACCAAAAAACATAATGCCTCCGACAGCGGCTATCAGAGACATAAAAACAAATTACTGAGGCTACAAAAATCAACCTGAATGCCTGTACTAAGCTTTATGAAAATACGTTCAATAATTTTGGGGAGATTTGAGTTTGAATCAAAGTGGTGGAGCAAACAACCAACATTGTGACTAAAAACCCTTCAAATTAAACTTAGTGTCATTGGAGCAAAATGCTTCCATCACCTTTGACTTCCAAAGATGTGGTGAGATATGAATATTCACAGTTCACTGATGACATCTGAGCTTATGTAATCCTCTAGACTGTCGGTTGAATCACTGTTATATATATAGAGGTGACACTGGTTCACGGTTTTATAGGGGGAGGTGATGAGGAGCTGTCATAACCTGAAAAATCTAAGAGATTCTGCAGCAAATAAAAATATTTAGGGATTAGAACAGTAAGGTTTAAATGCTACAATTTGAGCAGATTTCAGTTTGAATTAATATTATTAGTCTGACTATCTTTGATTAGTAATATATATATTTACATATATATCCCCAGAGTGCTGTGTGAAATTTGGGCTGTGAAATGTGGAAGCTTATCAAGTGTCGTTTTTGTGCTGTTTCTCTCGCAGTGTTTCCCTCTTCGTGTCTTTTCCCAGCTGCTCTGATGCAGCTGCTTACTGCTGTTGTTCAGCCAACCCAAACTTTGGTCTAGTTCTTTTGGGACCTTGCCTCAGTTTTCTTGTTCAATTCAAAGTCTGAAACAGTGCAGGTGAAAGCTTCTAAGAAAAATGATTTGGCTACTAAAACAGTATCTCGGTACACCATGCACACAAAAACTTTGTTTAAAAAAATGTACTTTTTTAGCTAATTAGTGCAAAAAATGTCCATTTAGAAAATATAATTTTAGGGAAATGGGCTGGGGAAAGTCAGGTGTGAGGCTCATTGGTTTTCCCATTGAGTACAAACACACTGTCTCAGACAGAAAGATAAGACAGTCTGTAGTAATGTGACAGAGCATCATGTGTTCTGCAGAGTTTCCAGGGTGTCACCACAGCAGTTACATTGTTCCTGTGATATTATGTTTTAGTCACTTTGTAGCTGAACAATTTTTATGTTAACACTCTTCAATTTTGCTACTCTAAACTGTCTGTTTTACCAACATGTCCTCTTTTTGTTAAAGTGACAGTTTAGTGAAACCTCATGGGTTATGTCTGACCATTTATCCCTCAAACTCTGTCTAACTATAATAAACACTAGTGTAACCCTTTAGCTATGTGTCGTGGTTTAAATTTGCTGTATACCATTTACAACTTTCTGCTCAGATGCAAGAGCTTCTTCTTCTTCTTATTGGTCTGCCTAGATACAGTGAGGCTGTGGAGCAAGGTAGCCTGTGTCACCATGAACCAAATACAAGACTTCATGCATTATGAATAGTCATAGATGAAGCATCTTACATAAGGAGCCCCTGCTTATATAATTAGTAGAGGACTTGATTAGTGTGGGTGATTTGTGACTGGATGCATCTGAGCAGGTGGGTTTTTTCTTCTTTATGTTCTTTTTTAAATTTAAACAGGCATATGTGTGTTATATGTTTGCATCTGCATGTTTGCATGTGTGTGTGTGTGGGCGCACATGTGTGATTTCAGTCTTCTCTGCCCTATGAAACGTGCCACTGGAGATAAAGAGCTTCAAAGGCAGAAGCTCTTCTAATGAGTGTAAACTGCTGTGACAGCCAAGGAGGGTCCCTGTGTTTCTCCTCTCGCTTTCTCTACTCAGTCGGCTACACTTCCTCTTCTCCTTTTGTTTCCATGGCTGTTCACACTCCCACAGATTTCTCTCCATCCTCTTTATCTTTGGCTATTACCCCCCATCTCATGCATCTGCTCTCATGTTTTCCATTTTACCTTTTCCAACACCCTTACTCCTTATCTGTGTCTCCAGTTCCTTGAAGCCAATTAACTCCTCTGAGAAAAGCTATGCCAGTAATGATCCCGCCATCTGTCAGCATGTCATCCTCTGTTTTTGCCAGCCTAACACATTAAATCATCATCCTGTATGAACTGGCCAAGTCATAATTGAGAAATACTGTTGTTGTTCTTCTAACATTTTAAATGCAGAAACCGGCGACCTGCCTCTTATTATTACAGTGCAGCTTATTCCAGTGTATGCACCTAATTTGCCTTTATGAAGACACAGAAAGCACAATATGAAAAAAAGAAACAATAGCATTATTTTATGGCTGCAGCTCAGCTACTGTTTATAGTAATGTGTGAGACCCCCTCATCTGAAAGCTTAATTATTTGGACAGATGACCATTGGCTGTCTCTGCTACGGGGT